CGCGGTCGCCGACCGCCGCGCCCCGCCCCGCAGCCGCCACGGCTGCTGCTATTGCTCCTCCGGCCGCGGCCGCTGCCGTCGCTCCAGCACCGCCGCCCTCACCGCCCTCACCCCTCCCCAGTGCCGCCGTAAAACCAGCCCGCGGCCGCCGAGCGAGCCCGACACTGCGCGACAGTGCGTGCGCGCGCACGCGGAAGGACGGCGACGCGCTTTACAGCAGTGGCGTGAGCACACGTCTTCGTCCGGGACCTCAGTTGGCACGTGGCGCCCGCGGAGTCACCTTGTTCCTGCTGCTGTGTGGCCTGCCGTCTCTCCGCTGCCAGCATGAAACGGCCGAGTGAGTGGGGTTGCGAGGCGGACGTGGAGAGGCCCTGCCTCTCGTCGTTGCTGCTCTGCGCCCTGGTGTCTGCGCACATGTGGGGAGTGAGCCGCGTCGGCCTGAGGGTGGGAAGGCCCCGCGTAGATTGCGAGCCGCGGACTCGCGTGGAGAACGTCAGGCAGATTTCACGGGAAGCAGCGTCTGAGCCCGGCGTCAGGTCCACTGCCTGCCTTCTGCGTTGGCCGAGAACCACCTCCCAAAGGCGTTTATCCTCTCTTGTGAATAAATGTACTTTTGGTGTTTTGTTTTAAAGCGGAGTATTACGTTTATGAAATAGCTCTCCATAGTAAATGTGGTTAATTACAAATAGGGGAAAGAAGGACGTTTTTCAGAAAACAGAACGGGCCACGAAAAAACCTGACATTGATTGGTGATTCCAAATCCAAAGTGGTTGTCGCTTTAAAGATAGGCATGTATATGTAGTCATACTGCCCTGCGAGGGAGTAGGCCTGGAGAGCCGGCTTCTTCCTAGATTTCTTGACTCTTACAGACTTGGATCTGCTAGTGGCATGTTTTTCTCAATTAGGTGCTTGGTATGAACATAAGGTTTGATACCTAACATTTTTGTTTCTGCAGAGTTAAAGAAAGCGAGTAAACGCATGACTTGCCATAAACGGTATAAAATTCAGAAAAAGGTAAGTCTTTCGTGGGATATTTATACCAAATGTATTGTTAACTTGATTTCCGAGCCATCTCTTTTTCACTGGAAATCTGGATTAATAATTTAGGTATTGAGTAGACTGTGGATATCATGAGTACAACTGTAGAGAAGAAATAGTATGTAAACCGGTTAACATAATTTTTGAAAACTGGGTGTGGTGGCACACGCTTGTAATCCCAGCACTTGGGAGGCTGAGACTGGAGGATCACGGTGGAATTAAAGGCCAACCTGAACTACAAAGGTGACCCAGCTTTTAAAAAAAAAAAGTTTCAGTGACTAGCTAGATAGATCAGTGGATTAAAGTGCCAGCTTAGGCAGACTGGGGATGGACTGAGACTGGGTTTGATGGCACAAACCTGCAATCCCAGCAAGCCTATAATCCCAGCACTTGAGAGGCTGAGAACAGGAGGATCACTATGAGTCTGATTTGTGCAGTGAGACTTTGTACTAAATACATAAAAAGAAGCTTCTATAGAAAGTTGTTTTTCGCTTTTATATATTAGTCTATTATCTGTATGACTCTGATTAAGCCTTTGTATATCTAGATTTATTTATTTATTTTTTTTTTTTTGAGATAGGGTTTCAGTAAGTAACTCAGGCTGGCCTTGAACTCCCTATGTAGCTCAGGATGGCCTCAAATTGATCCTCCGGCTGCAGCCTCCCGAGTGCTGGGATTACAGGTGTGCACCACCATGCCTGGCCTTTCTTAGCTCATTTTACAGACATAGATTAGAGTTCTCATTTAAATTCTAAGAAAAGTCATTTTTTTGTTCAGTTTATAAAGGCAAATTTTATTTTTTAAATTCAAATGGAAGTATTTTTTAAAGGATTATAGTTTTTTATTTTGTTTTTTCCTTTACAAAGGTTCGAGAGCACCATCGAAAACTGAGGAAGGAGGCCAAAAAACGGGGTCACAAGAAGCCTAGGAAAGACCCCGGAATTCCTAATAGTGCTCCTTTTAAGGAGGCACTTCTTCGGGAAGCTGAGCTAAGAAAACAGCAGGTAAGTTACCCAGATCTTTGTGTGGTACGGGTATGTTTTTGTTTTGTTTTTTAATAACAGCATCAGTTACTGGCTAATCTTTTTATGGACACAGCTTGAAGAACTAAAACAGCAACAGAAACTTGATAGGCAGAAGGAACAAGACAAGAAAAGAAAACTTGAAACTGACCCTGCTGATGAGCCATCTAATATTGAATCTGTGGAGGTAGGATTTCATCTCTTTCAAGATGAGAGAGAGAGGTGGGCATTTATTATCTCAGCACTCCAGGAGATTGAGGCAGAAGTATCACAGTTCCAAGCTCAGGCTGAGTAATTTAATGAGATAATTAAAATAAAGCCTGTGGCTGGGGAAATAGCCCAGTAGCATAAGTGCCTGCCTGGCAAGCATAAGGTCCTGAGTTCGATCCTCGGTACCAAAAAAAAAAAGAAAGGATAGATGTAGCCCGTGAACGGCTGGGTTCAATCCGTAGAGCCTCTTGGAAGAAAGCTGGTTTCAGACTCCTAAATAAAAAACTTCTTGGCACCTAGGCAGCTGTGAAAAATGTGAAGCTATAGGTTACAATTACTAGGATCTCAATTTTGTGTTTCTCCCTCTTTATTTGTATTCTCTAGGAATTTGGACAAAGCAAAACTAAGAGAGCCAAGCTGACCAAACAGAATCCAAAGGCAGTACATTGTCAGGAACTTAAAAAGGTACCTTAATCTAGGTCAGTGTCTAAAAATGGTAATGAGATTTAAAAGTAGTCATTCCCTAACCTGATAACATCATTATAAAATGGAAATTCTGGAAACTAATGTGAGAAGGGTGATTATGTTCTTGGGGATGCTCCCCAGCACCACTCCCCAACACATTTCCTACCTGTAAGTAGAACTTTTCAGTGCCTCTTAACACCTCTTGGAAAGCCAAAGGAGCCCTCTGAGCCACATAAATCATTGGGTGGATTGTCCACATATGTGTTCTGGGTGTGGTTTTAATTTTTTTTCTTTTAAACAAGGTCTTACTATACATAGTTCAGGCTAGCCTTGAACTCATGGCAATCCTGCCTCAGCCTCCTAAGAGCCTGGATTATAGGCATGTGCTACCATGCCAAATGAGTAAAATCCACTTACTGGATTTCTTGGTTCTGTTTTTGAGATCCGTATTGCTCAGAGATGGCTGAGCAGGCTTCTGTGTTTCCTTCCTGTGTGAGAAATGATGAGCATTTCAGTATTCTTCATATCATGTGAAGACGTGAGATCCAACTCTGAGCTCACCACCTATGCTGCTGGGGTCATACGAAGGGTATTCCCAGAATAAGAAATACTGTTAAAATTCTTCTTCCTTGACAGGTGATTGAGGCCTCAGATGTTTTACTAGAGGTGTTAGATGCCAGAGATCCTCTTGGTTGCAGATGTCCTCAGGTAGAAGAGGTGATTGTCAAGAGTGGGCATAAAAAGCTGGTACTCATACTAAATAAATCAGGTGAGCAAAAGGGATGCCTATTGTCATCTTCATTCACTAATGAGGTATGAGGAAAACATCTAAATCAGTCTGATTGTATCTGAAGACTGATAAGATCCAACTCTGACCTCAATTCTGCTTGCCAAAGACAATGCAGGGCAGTTGGGAGACGGTGGTTTCTAGAATTAATTCAACCCCTCTTTCTAGGGTTTCTGTTGTTTTTTTGTTTTAACACTCAGTACTTAACACTGTACAGCTTAAAAGTAAGCCTCTATAACCCTGTATACTATGTAGTATATTTCTTATAGGAACTAATGAGTATACCAGCTTATTCTCCCTACTTTCTGTACAACCTAGAGTAGTATTAGCATAGGATCAAGGAAAATTGGAATGTGAATGTTTTAGATGAAATAATCACACAATGGGTCTGAGTACCAGGAAGGAGAAAACCTAGAACACAGACTTGTGAAGCAGAAAGTAGGAACAGGGTTAAAAATTGTTTTTAGGAGTCAGAAAATAAGTGGCTGATAGCTGTGGATTAATCCTGGAAATGTAGCTGTAGAGTTACATTGCAGAGGTTGATGTCGTTTAAAAGGGTGAGCAATGCAGGAGAAATTAAAATGTGGAAGAATAGACACTGAGCTTTGTTAAGACAGAGGTGACATGGTAGAAAGCTTCCCTTCCATATTCCACTTGAGTCCTTTCTATGAAACTGAGAAAATGGGGCTGGTGAGATGGCTCAGTGGTCTAAAGCACCTACTTAGAACAAGCTTAGCAAAGCACAGGGACCGCGGTTCAATCCCCCAGCACCACATGCCA